TGTAATGTATGTATGCATGCATGCATTTCCCTCTCGCTCTGCCAAAGCCGCGAGGTAAAGATGTATGTATGCATGTAAATATATATATATATGTATATAAATGTGTATATAAATGTGTGTGTGTGCGTGTATGGTGTTATGTACTATGCATCATGAACTCCATGATGTTATGTACTATAGATAATACACTATATATTATTTATTCCTGGTTCCAAGATCCAGCAGGTTGCGAAGCCTTGGCTTGGGAACCGCTATCAGGCAAGTGACCAATGCATCATGGAGAGCAGGAGGGAGCCCGAAAAGGTGACTGTAGCAATACAGCTTGTCACATTGTGCCGGCATGCCGGTGCGATCCAGAAATGCCCGTCGGGGCACCAAATCGTGTTGGTTCCGTCTGCATCCTGTGTGACTCCATCCGTGTCGCCAGTCCAATTGATGTAGTCCTCCAGCTCATCGGCAGAAGGCAGCCAACTAACCACGGAGCGGTTGCAGGTGTCGAAATCGCTGGTATTCAACGAATCAAGTCCATCGAAATACTTCCTCGCATCGTGATGCGTGGTGTTGTAGCTGCCGTGCAGATTCAGGATAATGCCATCCTGCTCAGCACAGCCCTCATCAAGAAAAAATGTGCTATCATTTTATTGTTCACGCAGCTCCTCCTTCACTGGGACTACTCCTGCTGCTCCTGCGACCATAAATACCAGCACAGCAAGAAGAGTAACAAAAACAACAGACCAATCGCAGCTTCGGTGCAAACAGATCACATTAACATCATTTGTCATTTTGGCAAAACACCATTAAGCAGAATACGTCCTTCAGCAATTTTGCAATCGAGACAGCCCTGCAACTAGTCATGTCGTTTCCAAACTTTCGCTGCGATGCCTGCAAGGGTGCTTCTGCTTGTCTTGGAACCTAGGGTTTACAGGTTTAGGGTTTGGGGCTTATGAAACAAAGCGAAAGCCAGCAAACGGGAGCGATGACGAGAGAAGCCATGGCGAGACTGACAGCAGCTTTCAAGCTGACGGGGACGGTCGACTACGGCGAGTCCACAGCAAACCAGCTGCAGGAACCGAGAGCCTTCCAAAAATAAACTGACCTCTACGAGAGCACGGAAGAGTGCACAACAGAACGCAGTCGTATGCGTACGAGTAGCCAAAACCCCCATCCTGCCGTTTCCTAGCATCAACTTCTAAGCTTCCTACACATACTGTCACATACTTGACAACTCAACAGAGAAACCGAGTGACAATAAAGCTCACAACCTCGAACAGCCAAGCTAAACCCTAAACCCTGACAGCGACGCTTCAAAAGTCTTCGCTACGCATTCCACAAAACTCTATCCAGGAAGCCCGGACTTTGCGGAGACCCCCAAGCAAACCAACCGCCCAAAAACATCTATTCAAGACTTCAGCCGTTCCTCGCGCGCCGCATCCAGCTGCGAGCGTTTCATGTAGATGTGCTCTCGACTTCGAAACCTTTGGCTTCGCGGGCTACAGGGCGTGTGCACAAGGACTTGCAAAGCGTTTCTTGCAGATTTGCTGCCGGTAGTATTACTACTACGATTATTACTATTATTATTATTACTACTATTACTACTATTACTATTATTAGTACTATTACTACTATTACTATTATTACTATTATTATTATTATAACTACTATAACTATTATTGCTATTACTAGTATTACTATTATTATTATTATTACTACTATTATTATTATTACTACTATTACTATTACTACTATCATTACTATAACTATTATTACTATTATTAGGGTGCGGGTGCTGGAACTTAGGCTT